CCTGCAGGGTTTTTTTGGACCAACGCTGTTATGGAAACAGGCTTAGAAGCGGGGGGTGGGGGGGATGTAAGAAGTGATGGCGGTGATTAAAAAAAGATCCGTTGCCACGAGAAACGAGAAGGGACTCGGCTGATGTCATTAAACTAGCACGGCACAGTGAGCTGGGGAAAATATGTTTCATAAAACCTCCAGAAGTTAATAAAAGCAAGTGGTAGCTAAATTGAGATGTCCAGCATATTGTGAAGCCCTCAGTATTTATCAGTACACAACAAGAAAACAGATTTTTAAACAATAAAGTCATAGTTGGAGTCCAAACAAAAATATCTTCAGTAGCTTCAGTTAAAAGAAATATTACTTTCTCAGTGCTGCAGCTTAAAACTTAAATCCTGATCAAAGTCCACTTTGGTACATAATAGATTTCATTTTATTTTTGTTTTCGTGTCAAAGTGAAATGTTTCAGATCATAAAACGAATTTAGGAAATCAAAACAAATCCAGATAACTGAAAAAAAAAAAAAAAAAAAAAAACGTTCTACGACATGATTTGTGAGCAACAGCTTAATATCAGTTAAGGTCAGGGTTCATGATTCAACAATAGGAACTAAAGACTGGGAGAAAAAGGACACAGAAGTGAGTCAAAAAAGGCCAAAACAAAAGTTTTAGTGTCCCAGTCAAAGTCTGGCCTGAGATGCTGTGGCGTGACCTAAAACCAATGATTTGTGCTTGAGATAAAACTTTCAGCAAAGAAGAGCGGGCCAAAAGTCATCCACACTGACGTGAAAGACTCAACGTCAGCTGCTGCCAACATTTAATGGCAGTTCCTGCCGCCAAGATTGGTACAACCAGGATTTAAGGGCCAATCGCATTTTTACAACATTCCAGGTTGGTGTTGCTCCTAAATAAGTAAAGGGTTAGAGTGTACTTACTGAGGTTATCTGTGTCTAATGCTAACTGTGGAACAAATCAAATCAAATTTCCCAAACGTATCCCATTAGGTGGGTTCATAGGGCGCTCTCTTGAAAAGTCTTATGACTGATTACTTACAACAGATTACTCAGATTCACAGCACATTTTGTTCACAGGCTTTGTTTCCACTGAGTGGCTTCGAGGCTAAAGCAAGAGAAATGTCCAGAACCGAAGCCTCTCCTCAAATTGAATGCGTCTCTGCAGGAGTCTCGCCTTCCACCAGGACCAGAAAATGGGAAAGGTCTAGCCAGTTCCTGAAGGCTGAATCAATGGATGTTGTAAATAAGGTTTTTAAAAGTGAGCAATAAACAGATTGAGAGGGAGAGCAAGAATAAAAAAATAGAGAGCGAGTGAGAGATGTATGAAAGTTGAATAAATCTCTGAAAGGTGCTCATTTTTTACTTTTACTGAGCTAGGCTGCTCAACCACCAACCCTCCACCTTCAAGCGCTTTGACACTTGAATAGTACCTTTGTACTTCAGCACAAATGCTGTTCATGCACACAGAAACACACACACACGCATACACACATGCAATTAGAAATACCCTCACTTGCAGAGATGATTAAATGACACAGCTAGCAAGGCCTAGCAATGCCACGGTGAAGCTTCACTGACACAACAGAGAGACGGCCCGACGCATCAGAACCTCTAATGAAACGGGGACGGGGGAGATTCCCGCATTTAATCCGACGTCTAAGAGTCGAGCAGATGACAGGGATTTGGCCAAGGCAGGCGCATATGTTAGACCAGGGGGCCGCGGCCCGGGAGCACTGCCACTCACC